CTCCCCCTCCCTCCTTTCCCCTCATCCACCTTAACTTATATCCTCTTCATTGATCCTTTATTATCTTACTTTACGAGAGAAAACTTTACATAAAGTTTACGGCGCCTTCTATAACAAAAGAAAAAATGATCGTAAAAAGCAGGAAGAACAGATAAAGCAGTCGAGTTGAGGCGATGAGAGGGAGAGATGAAGAGGAAGAAGAAGAAGAAGAAGAAGAAAGAGAGAGAGAGAGAGAGAGAGAGAGAGAGAGAGAGAGAGAGAGGGGGGGGGAGGGAGGGAGGGAGGAAGGGAGGGAGGGGGAGGGAGAGGGAGAAGAAGAGGGGGAGAGAGAGAGAGAGAAAGGGGGGAGGGAGGGAGAAAGAAAGAAAGAAAGAGAGAAAAGGGGGAAAAGAGGAAGGGAAAAAGAAAGAAAGAGAGAGAGGGGGGGGGGGGCGGAAGGAGTATGAATTAGTATAGTGGAGGGAGGGAGTAGTCGATTCGAGGCGATGAGAGAGAGAGAGAGAAAGAGAGAGAGAGAGAGAGAGAGAGAGAGAGAGAGAGAGAGAGAGAGAGAGAGAGAGAGAGAGAGAGAGAGAGAGAGAGAGAGAGAGTGAAAGAGAGAGAGAGCGAGAGGGGCAGAATGGGGAGGGAAAGGAGTATAGATTAGTATAGTAGAGGGAGGGAGAAAAAGACGAGTAACTAAGAAAGAGAGAGAAATCGATAGAAAGAACAAGATTTAAAGAAAAAGATTTTTTTTTTTTAATAAGATAAACATTACATATGCAAGAACAAAAAAAACAACACATCCACACACGCACATACACACAGCCTACACACACAGAAACAAACAACACACAAGAATAAAACGATAAAAAAAACAGACTGTTTGTGCGAAAAGAGGAAATGCAAAGGACTGAGAAGTGTGAAGGACGTGGGCGCGAGAGAACGAATTGGTCACGAAACCCGATTAGATTAGTCTCTCGAAACAGGAGGGAAAGGAGGGAGGGAAATGAAGGAAGGGAATGAGAAGGAAAGGAGGGAAGGAGGGAATGAGAGGGAAAGGAGGGAAGGAGGGAGGGAAATGAAGGAAGGGAATGAGAAGGAAAGGAGGGAAGGAGGGAATGAGAGGGAAAGGAGGGAAGGAGGGAGGGAAATGAAGGAAGGGAATGAGAAGGAAAGGAGGGAAGGAGGGAATGAGAGGGAAAGGAGGGAGGGAAATGAAGGAAGGGAATGAGAAGGAAAGGAGGGAATGAGAGGGAAAGGAGGGAGGGAAATGAAGGAAGGGAATGAGAAGGAAAGGAGGGAAGGAGAGGGAAAGGAGGGAAATGAAGGAGGGAATGAGAGGGAAAGGAGGGAAATGAAGGAAGGGAATGAAGGAGGGAATGAGAGGGAAGGAGGGAATGAGAGGGAAAGGAGGGAAATGAAGGAAGGGAATGGGAGGGAAAGGAGGGAGGGAAATGAAAGAAGGGAATAAGAGGGAAATGAAGGAAGGGAATGAGAGGAAAAGGAGGGAATGAGAGGGAAAGGAAGGAAGGAGGGAATGAGAAGGAAAGGAAGGAAGGAGGGAATGGGAGAGAATGGGATTGAGGAAGGGAAGGAATGGGAGGGAAGGAGGAAGGGAGAGAGGAAGATAGAGAGACAGACACACAGACAGACAGAGAGAAGGGGGGGGAGAGAAGCAGGGTATGAGGGAGGGGAGAAGGGAGGGAGGGAGAGAGAAAGGGAGAAAGAGAATAGGAGGGAAGGAAATATTGATGTAGGGAGGGAAGGAGAGAAAGGGAGAGAAGAAGGAAGGGAGAGAGGTAGAGGTAGAGTAAGAGGAAAAGACATATGGAGAGAGAGAGGGAGAAACGGAGGGAGGGACAGAGGGAGGAAGGAAGAGAGAGGGAGATAGAAACAGAAAGAAAGAGATAGAGAGAGAGAGAGAGAGCTAGAAAGATGACATCTACCCCTCCTTCTCTCCCTCTCTCCTATCCTCCCTTCCTCCCTCCCCCCCCCACCCATCCATCCCCCACCTTCCCTCACCCCCCCCCAACCCCAATTTCCCCCCCCTCCTCCCCCTTACCTTTCCTCACCCTCCCTCCCCCCCCCACACCCCCTATCCCTCTTTGCATACAACCCCCCCCCTCCCCTCCCCTCTCACCACGACTTCCTAAGATGCATGGACAAGAAGCCGAGACACTAAAGCCAAATATTGCCGGATAAGCGACGATCCGGATCGTAAAATTCTCTCATAACCGGCCATCTCGTCCGTGCATCCGTCTCGACGTACGTAAAAGGAAGAGAGAGAGAGACGTAAACAAAAAGAGGGATGGGAAGGGGAGGGGGAGAGCGTGGGAGGGGAGGGAGGAGGGGGGAGATAAGGGAGAAAGAAGGGAGAGGGAAGGAGGGAGAAAGAAGGGAGAGGGAAGGAGGGAGAAAGAAGGGAGAGGGAAGGAGGGAGAAAGAAGGGAGAGGGAAGGAGGGAGAAAGAAGGGAGAGGGAAGGAGGGAGGGAAGAGGTAGGAGAGGGAAGGAGAGAGGGGAGGGAGGAGGGGGAAAGAGGGGAGGTGGGAGGCGAGGGTGGAAGGGGTGGGTGAAGGAGGGAGGGAGAGAGAGGGAATAGGAAGAGAGAGAGAGAGAGAGAGAGAGAGAGAGAGAGAGAGAGAGAGAGAGAGAGAGAGAGAGAGAGAGAGAGAGAGAGAGAGAGAGAAGAAAGGGTGGGAAAGAGGGAGGAAAGGAGTGAGAAGGGAGAGAGGAAAGAAGGGTGAATAAAGAGCAAGAAAAAGCGAAGAAGATGGGAGAGAAAAGAAAGAAGTGAAGAAAGTTGGAAGAGGGAGAATGAAAGACACACGAACAAAAAGACAGACAGACAGAAAGACATACGAGACAAGACTTCAATCCAACTTGGTTTTTGTGATGGAAACGATCTGTTGGGCCTCGAAGAGATATGTCATCGCCGCTGTCGTTGAGTGATGAATGTTTGTGATGTTGCAGAGAAAAACGCACACGGTCTTTCCTCTCCCTCTACGTACATGTATGTGTACGGGGCCTTCTTCTCTCCCATTTCTTTCTTTTCTTTTCATCTATTTTATTTTATTTTACTTTATTTCTTTCTCCTCTTCTTCCCTCCCTCCTAACTCCTCTTCCTTCCTCCTCTTCCTCCTCTCCCTCCCTCCCTTTTCTCCCTTCCTCCTCTCCCTCCCTCCCTTCCTCCTCTTCCTCCCTCCCTTCCTCCCTTCCTCCCTCCCTCCCTCCCTTCCTACTCTCCCTCCCTCCCTCCCTCCTTCTTTTCCCTTTCTGCTCTTCTTCCTCCTCTCTCTCCTCCCTCTCTCCCTCCCTCCCTCCCTCCCTCCCTCCCTCCTCTCCCTCCCTCTTCTCCTTCCCTCCTCTCCCTCCTCTCCCTCCCTCCTCTCCCTCCCTTCTCTCCCTTCCTCCCTCCCTCCCTCCCTCCTTCTTCTCCCTTCCTCCTCTTCCTTCCTTTATCTCCCCTCTCTCAGAAAAAAATGGGAAAAGCATAGTAAGAAAAATATATAAAGTCATCTCCTTGACAGCCGCTTGTCGACTCTTTTTCCTTTCCCTTGTCCACTTCTTTACCATTTTTCTTTTCCCTTCCTTTTTCTCTTCCCCTCTTCTTCCTCCTCATTCTTTTCCTTCTCTTGTTTTCTTTCTTCCTACAATCGATATTCCCTTTTTTGTTCTGTTTTATTTGTCTGTTCTCTCTCTCTCTCTCTCTCTCTCTCTCTCTCTCTCTCTCTCTCTCTCTCTCTCTCTCTCTCTCTCTCTCTCTCTCTCTCTCTCTCTCTCTCTCTCTCTCTCTCTATCTTTCTTTCTCTTTTTCTTTTCTTAACCTTATTCGTTCGTCTCTTTTCCCCTTGTTTTTCTTCCCTCCTTTCTTCCCTTTTTAGCTTTTTTCTACTTCTTTTTTTTTGTGTGTATGTTTTGTTCTCTCTTTCTATTTCCTCTATTCGTCCCCTTGTCCTATTTACTCATTCATTCATTTTTCCTTCCTCCTTTATTCACTCATTCGCAATTACAAATAAGTAAATCAATAAGCGGATAATCAAAAAACACGAATGTGTATTTATAAAGAAAAATATCTGCAAAATATACAAAGAACCGTACAGATAAATACATCGATTAATGGATTAAATACATAATTAAATAAATATAGACATATACAACATTCAAGAGATGATGATGATGATGATGATGATGACTCTCTCTCTCTCTCTCTCTCTCTCTCTCTCTCTCTCTCCTCTCTCTCTCTCTCTCTCTCTCTCTCCCTCTCCCTCTCCCTCTCCCTCTCCCTCTCCCTCTCCCTCTCCCTCTCCCTCTCCCTCTCCCTCTCCCTCTCCCTCTCCCTCTCCCTCCTCCCTCCTCCCTCTCCCTCTCCCTCACTCCCTCACTCCCTCACTCCCTTTCTCCCTCTCTCTGGCAGACTCAGACTTTGCAACACTTGCAACACAAGAGACACTCAGGAGGCAATAATGCAACGCGGGGACTCAAAGACACTGGCAGCCCTCCCTTGCAACACAAATGCAATTGCGAGATGCATTGCACACTCCGAGAAGCCTAAGTGTTCAGGGAGCCTTCTTAACCTCGTTCCTTTGATAACTTCTAACTTCTCTCTCTCTCTCTCTCTCTCTCTCTCTCTCTCTCTCTCTCTCTCTCTCTCTCTCTCTCTCTCTCTCTCTCTCTCTCTCTCTCTCTCTCTCTCTCCTTTGCGTGTGTATATACGTATGCATATATATACATTCATATATTTATATACATATACATACATGCATACATATACATACATACATACATACATACATATATATATATACATATATATATATATATATATATATATATATATATATATATATATATATATATATATATACATATATATATATATATATATATATATATATATATATATATATATATATATATATATATATATATATATATATATATATCGTCTCTTTCGTCTCTCTTCTCTGTCTCTCATCCTCCCCTCCCCTTCAAAGCGACGCCCGCGCGGGGACTTACCTGGAACTCGAACTTAGGGAACTGGTCGACGGTGTTGACGTCCGTCTTGGGGGCCTGGATGTCCTTGCACTGGTGGGAGGGGGTCGTCTGCCCCCCGTCAGCTGATGGCGCGTCGCCCCCTCCTCCCCCTCCTTCCCCTCCGGTCCCTCCGTCGCTCTGCCGCTCCGCCCTCCTCTCCCCCGCGGCGCCGCCCCTCGAGGCGTCCTGGGGCTTGTCCTTCAGGATGTGGGGGCTGGCGGGCGCCGAGGAGTAGTAGTAGACGTAGACGAGGGCGCAGGCCGCCAGCAGGCCGAGCAGGGCCAGTCGGAGGCCGCCGCGTCGTGCCATCATCTTCACCATGTCGGGCGAGGCGAGGCGTCCGAGGGAAGGGCGCTGGGAGGACGTAGCAGTAGCGGGAGGTGGAATCTTCGCTCTGACGTCGCCCTCAGCAATGACCGCTCACTTTGTCGCTCTTATTTATCTCTTTCCTCTATCTCTACTCTTATCTTCTCTCTTCCCCTCTTCCTTTCTCTCTCTCTCTCTCTTTCTATTCAGACTTCTACTATCGAGTGGCCTTAAAGGGACACTGCGTACCGAGTACTTTTATTTTTCCTTACGCCCTTTCTTCTCCTGCTTAAGAGACAGACGTCGGGCAATATATCCTTGTCATGGTCAGGATGACTGTGTTCTATTCCTCCTGCATATGTTCCCCGTCCAAATTTTCCTCGCTAGGTTTACTCGAGGAGGCTCTGTTAGTAGTAGTGGTTGGTTAGTAGTTAGTAGTTGTATTTTCCCCTTACTTCCTTTTTACTTACAAGATTACAGGAGGCGGCGTTAGTTTATAAAGAAGAAAGTGCGTGAGAAAAGGAGCCAGCCGTAGCGGGAAGCTCCTCCTAAAGCCGCGCTGTGTTTATTCGCCGAAGACCGCTGCTGTAAAACCGACAGCGCTTCAGTGAAGGTGGTCGTGCTCAGTCAGTCAACCAGTCAGTCAGCGGACGGCAAAGCGTATCCGAGACGACCCGACTCACTCCTCAGCTCCCTCTCGACGCCGCACGACCACAGCAGTTCCTAATCCCGCCGCTAGATGTCACCTTCGTCCGCGCCACTTTCGTAGGCTTGGATCCCTTGCTGCCTCCGCCTCCGCCGTCGCTGATCCTCCCCTTGATTCCTCCTCATGAAGGTCGTCTCTTCCGGCAGCTTGGACCTTTTCTTCGGGATATCCGCGCGCGTCTCGGTCTCCTTCAAAAATATATATAGATGAAAAAGAAGATTTCCGTTCTCCTACGGTAGCTTGTGGAAAGCACGAGACGCTTCAATTATATATATTTTCTTTCTTTCTTTTTCCCCTTTTTCTAACGGCTTCGCTTTTTTCCCCCTCTTTATTTAAGCTTTGTTATTTTCTTTTCTTTCTTTTTGGGGGGTTGAAACGGAAGAGCTGACTGTAAGATTCTGATGGGGGGGGTGGGGGGGTTCAAGTGCTCTATTTAAACACGATCAGAATGCCAATGCAGTCACAGAAACCTTAAATGCATCGTATAGTCGCGTCGCCCTTTCTATACATGTATAGATGTATAAAAAACGGATTAAGTTGTATTCAGTGGAGCTCTAGAAGCCTACAGTAATAACATTAGCATTTTTTTTTACTTTTTTTAAACAGTCCACAACGATGAACACCAGTTTTACACACAGCAATGGAACCGACAATGATTTGGTGGCAGTATCACAGGCAAGAATTAAATCCACTTATTGACAATGATTTTTTAAAAAGGACAACACACACGTTTAGCAATATCTTAAAATCCCTTTTTTTATCTTTTCCTTCGTAAAAAAAGAGTCTTCATAGAATATATGTGTATATATATATCTAAACAAACACAACCTTGACAAAAGCCGATTGAGAGCGAAAAAAAGGAAATGATAAAAAATCACAACAATGAGATTTCTTTCTATGAAGCCTAAGTCGTCGCCAACCACAGGAGGACGAACGCCTATTCAACAATAGCGTTGAGACGCATTGAGACAACCAACCCCACAGAGGTTAAAAAGGTTGAGCCTAAGAATCACAGAGGATTAACAGCTGACTGATCTTTCGAAGATCAAAACGTCTTTTTTCTTTTTCTTCTTCTTCTTTCTTTCTTTCTCTCTTTCTTTCTTCCTTTTCTTCCTTTCTTCCCTCTCTTCTTCTGATCTTGGGTTGTTTGACTTTCCTATCAGTTTTTTTTTCCTTGTTTTTTTCTTATCTGGCTCTCTCTCTTTATCTCCCTTTAGATGTTAACTTTCGGTTGTATTCGGAGATTTTTGTTTGTTATTGTTTTGTTATGTTTTTTTTTTTCTATTTTCCTTTTCTCCAAATGCACGTGTGTCAGCAATGGTGTTTGATCCTCACCACGCGAAACCTTTTGCCAAAATGCTCGCCACTTCTCTATCGATCTTATCACTCTCTTTCTATTGTCTTCCTTTCGCTCTTTCTTGCTTTCTCTTCCTGCATTTCTCTCCGTCAATTCGCTGCCCTCTGGTCACTTCATTCGCCTTCAAAATATCGCTTCACGAACGTCACAATTTTTTTTTCCTTTTTCCTTTTATTCTAAATATATTTTTTTTCTTTTTTTAACTTTTTCTCTTCTCACTTGAGTCGCTCAGCTGTCCTTTTAGTCAAACATGGCCGACTCTCTGACATTCCCGGTGGCAGCTGGAAAGAGAAGAAAAATATATATATAAATTCAGTAAGATTGAAATGGCCAAAGACACACATAGGAAACTCGACTCTAGCTTTACATCTCTTGATATCAACACGTATTATTTAGGAATAAATCTTTTGGAAAGTTTTGTTTGTTTTATGGATAATAATGCTAAACAACAGTAGTGTGTACATAATAAAGGAATACATGTGGAAGAGATGGACCAGTCTCCTCACTCCACCCAAATCCCGCTCCCCACTCCATCAGCGAGGAGGGGGGTGGACGGGTGGGTGGAAGTGGAGGTGGGGGGCAGCTCCACATGCCGGTCCAATCCCGCCTTTTCATCTCCACTAGCGTCCCTCCACAGCCCTCCACTTCTACCCTTAAATAAAAATAAAAAAAACTTCACCCACAATCACTTCCTGAAACCCTAATCTTTACCCACAAAACCCCTAAACAAAACTTTCCTCTTTACCCACAAAACCCCTAAAAAAAGACCTTTCCTCTTTACCCACAACTCCCCCACGATGTCCGTCTCCCACGATCTCCCCCGTTCGACTCCTTCCCACAACGTACGGCGTCTTAGGTAAAAGCTGATTACTAATTCTGGTGGTGGTGTGGGGGGGGGGGGGTGAAGGGGGAGAGGGTGGAGACGGGTGGAAGTGGGGGGGGGGGTAGAGGTGGGTTGAAGGGGGGGGGGGTGGAGAGAGAGGATGGGGGGGGGGATGAAAGTGTGTTTGAAATGACTCAACATCATCAACATCATTATTATTATCATTATCATTATCATCATTATTATCACTATTAATAATATTCATTCACTTTCTGTGTCATCTTATCTATTTCCTTCAATCCTCTTTCTCTCTTTCTCCCTCCCTCCCTTCCTCCTACCCTCTTTCCATCTCCCTCTCAATATCTTTTCATCTCTCTCTTTCTCTTCCTCTTCCTCCTATTCCTCATTTTCTGCTCCCTCTTTCTTACTCCTTGAAAACCACTTCAGCACTTCCTTACGCTTGCCAAACGTAACTTGTCTTCATTGGCTCATAAATCTTTTCTATGGGGGTTAATATGTTGGCGTTTTTTTCCTCTGATTATAAGTACCTTACTATCTTACCTCGTTTGTTTATCAAAATGGGCAAATTTCTCTCTCTCTTGAATTGATTAATCTCTTTCTCTCTCTCTCGCTAGCTCGCTCGCTCGATCTCTTTTTTTTCTGTCTCGGTCTCTCTCTCTCTCTTTCTCTCTCTCTCTCTCTCTCGCTCTCGCTCTCGCTCTCTCTCTCTCTCTCTCTCTCTCTCTCTCTCTCTCTCTCTCTCTCTCTCTCTCTCTCTCTCTCTCTCTCGCGCTCTCGCTCTCGCTCTCTCTCTATCGCTCTCTCTCTCTCTCTCTCTCTCTCTCTCTCTCTCTCTCTCTCTCTCTCTCTCTCTCTCTCTCTCACTCACTCACTCTCTCTCTCTCTCTCTCTTTATATATATATATATATATATATATATATATATATATATATATATATATATATATATATCTTTCTCTCTCTCTCTCTCTCTCTCTCTCTCCTCTCTCTCTCTCTCTTTCGCTTAAAAATTAACTAAATCGAGGACAAATATCACTATAATATGGGGTGTGGTGGGGGATGGGGGGAAGGGTGAGGAGGTGGGAGAGATCGACGGGAGGCAGAGGGAGGGAGAAGAAGGGAGAAGGAGAGGGAAAAAGGGAAGAAGAATAAAGAGGAAATGGATTTAAAAGGAAACAGAAGAAGGAGAAACGAAGAAAGAGGAAGAGTAGGAGGAGGAGAAAAAAAAGAGGAAGATGATGATTACGATGACGACGATAATGAAGGAGGAGGAGGAGGAGGGGGAGGAGGAAGAAGAAAACGAAGAAAAAAACGAAGAAAAAGACAAAGAAAGACTAGTAGATAAAGAAACAAATTACCACAGAGACGAAGCTCCTTATTCCTACCCTCGCCAACCTTACGTCACCAAAGGATAAACACATAAAAAGTTAATTAAGCATAAAAGGTCAAATTGAAAGCAGTAATTAGCGGCTGACTCATTCATCGTCATCAATAGTAATCATAGATGTCATTGATACTAATGCCAGTTAATGTAAACAATGCCCTTGGTGACATTACAAACCGTGGGAGGGGGGAGGGGTGAGAGGGGAGGGGGGGAGGCGGGGGGGAGGGGAGGGAGAAAGAGAGGGAGGGCGGGGGAAGAGGGAGGGTGGGAGGGGAGGGAGAAAGAGAGGGAGGGAGGGAAGGGGGGGAGAGAATAGGAGGTAGGGAGGGGGAGGGGGAAGGAAAGGGAGAGAGAGAAGGAGAGAGAATGGGTGAAGGGAAAACGGATAAACAGAGAGACAGACAGACAGACAGAAAGACAGACAGACAGACAGAAAGACAGACAGACAAACTTCCCCTATCTTCAGATTCAGAAATGTAACATGAAAAGACCAATTTCACTTCTCTGACCTTGAATCCTAAGCAGAATCTCGGACAGATATGTCATCTGCAATTTTCATTTTCTAAATTTTCCTATTAATATTCATGATCCTTTTCCATCTCCGTCTAATGAAGAAGAAGGGAGGAGGAAGAGAGGGAGATGGATTTCTCTCTATCTCCCTTTCTTTCTTTCTTTCTCTCTTTCTCTCTTTCTTTCTTTCTTTCTTTCTTTCTCTTTCTCTCTCTCTCTCTCTCTCTCTCTCTCTCTCTCTCTCTCTCTCTCTCTCTCTCTCTCTCTTTCTCTCGCTCTCTCTCTCTCGCTCTCGCTCTCGCTCTCTCTCTCTCTCTCTCTCTCTCTCTCTCTCTCTCTCTCTCTCTCTCTCTCTCTCTCTCTTTCTATCATTCTATCATTCTGTCTATCTATCTCTATCTATCTAATTATCTATCTATCTATCTATCTCCATCTATTTATCTGTCTCTCCCACTTTTTTGTGTGAAATAAAAAAAACAGGGAAGTTTCTCTTGTCTTCTCTTCCCTTCTCTTTTCCATTCTCTTCCCTTCTCCTCTCCTCTCTTCCTCCCTTAACCTCTCCTCTTCTCTCATCTCCTTCTCTCTCCCTCTCTCCTTTATCCTTTTTCTCCTCTCTTTCCCTTCCCCTCTTCCCCTTGTCTCTCTCCCCTTGTTACCCTTCACACCTCCTGTCAGTTGGGCTCAATTTCCCTTGAACATCCTTGGCACTTTGCCCCTTAATTGATTTTAGTCCGGACGACCTTCCTTAATCTCACTTTTGCCTTGCCCTGTTCGTTACTCACACGAGGACCGGACACACACACACATACAGACACAGACACACACACACACACACACATACACACATACATCCACACACACATACACACACACACACACACACACACACACACACACACACACACACACATACAGACACATACAGACACACATAATTATACACTCACGCGCGTGGACATGCACATGCACACATATACACACATACATACATGCATACATACCTACATACATGTATGTATAGATACATAAATCAATTCATTCATACACATGTATTTGTTTCCCCGTTTTAGGTTCTTCGCCCTTTCTCTCTTTTGTCTTTTGTTTTGTGTTTTATCTTTTTTTTTCTTCGTTTTTTTTCCTTCCTCACTGAGTCCCATTTCCTTGCCTTTGCCATTCTATCTTTTCTTTTCCCTTCTCCGCCGTTCCCTTCTTTCCCTTCTCTTCTCTTCTCTTCTCTTTTCTTCTCTTCGTTTCTCTTCCCTTCCCTTCCCTTCCCTTCTCTTCCGTTCCCTTCCCTTCCCTTCCCTTCCCTTCCCCTCCCTTCCCTTCCCTTCCCTTCCCTTCTCTTCTCTTCTCTTCTCCTCTCTTCTCTTTTCGTTTCTTTTCGTTTCTTTTCTTTTCTTCTCTTCTCTTCTCTACCTTCTCACTTTCTCATCACCATCCTTATTACCGTACTCTTCCTCTTCATCTGCCTCCTCATAAACCTCTTCTCCTCTTCCACTCTCTGCTTCCCTCCTCTCCCACCCCCTCCTTCCCTCCTCCTCTCCTCTCCCACCTCCTCCTCCACTCCTCTTCCAATCTCTCCTTCCCTCCTCTTCTACCCCCTCATCCCCTATCTTTCTATCCCCTCCTCCCCTCTTCTCCACCCCCTCCTTCCCTCCTCTTCCACTCTCTCCTCCCCTCCTCTCCCACCTCCTCCTTCCTTCCTCTCCCCCCCCTCCTTCACTCCTCTCTACCTCTCCCTCCCTTTCCTCCCCTAATCTTCCACCCCCCTCCCCTCTTCTCCCCCTCTCCTCCTCTCCCCCCTCCTTCCCTCCCCCCCATGTCCTCCCCTCCCACGTCCTCCCTCCCCTCTTCTTAGGCAAGTCAGGCGTTCGAGTAAAAAAAAAAGGACTGAGACGGTACTTTTCTTCCCTTGATTTTGAATGAAAAGAAGTGAATAAAAAAAAAAAAAAAAAAAACTCAAAGAGACCTCACGCACCCCCCCCCCACACACACACATGTTCGGTTGATTTGTGGTTGATTTGTGGTGGATATGTGTGGTTAAAGTATGATTGATGTGTGGTGTATGTGTGTGTGTGTGTGTGTGTGTGTGTGTGTGTGTGTGTGTGTGTGTGTGTGTATGTGTGTGTGTGTGTGTGTGTGTGTGTGTGTGTGTGTGTGTGTGTGTGTGTGTGTGTGTGTGTGTGTGTGTGTGTGTGTGTGTGTGTGTGTATGCCAAGTGTTTTATGTGTTGTTGAAATGTGGTTCATGTGTGCAGGATGTGTGGTTGGTGTGGTGGACGAGTGTTTGAATTGGGGTTCATGTGTGGTTGGTATGTGGTGGATATGTGGTCAGTGTATCGTTCGTGTGTGGTTGACGTGCAGTTGATATGTAGTTGAAGTGACCTTGATATGTGGTTGTGTTGTGTAGCTAATGTTATCACTATAATTACCACACTAAGGGGGGGGGAGGGGGGCGTGCTGGCAGGTTTTCAGCGAGGGTCACGTGATTACGCCTCAACTGAGTCATATTAATAAACACATCGAAATAAAGATATAAAA